ACAAAACATTGTTTTTGTTTTGAAAACATGCAAATTGGAACAGACGAAGGGGTCCACCCATTTGGAATTGGGGTCGTTTGGCTTCTTTTGTTAGACTGCAATAAACTGCACGCTATTCCTGACATTTTGAATTGAAAAAGCTTCCTTGATGGGAAGCGAAACGTCTTCAAACTTTGAAACAAAGTCCAGTGGATTATTTTTAATTTTCTTTTTTTTTGGAATGACTATGAGCTGGATGACCTGGAGAACCTTCACCAGCATGTGAATCAGGAAATTGTCTATATACCAAACTTAAAGATTGTTGTTCTCTACTTTAAAAAAACACTCTAGATTTAAAAATGGAAAAATTTTCTCTTTTTTAGCTAGTCTTTTATTTAAAAGTTCAATGTATAACATGGATGCATTAACACCTCATTTTATTTGGTGTTAAATTCTGTTTAAAGTAACAGATTATAATTAAAAATGTCTCTGGACCTTTACTGGTTGTTGATTTTCTTTATTCGGACCCTGCTGATTTTTTATTTAATTATAGCTACCCCTCCCCCACCTGGTGCTGTGATTTGCGAGACAGCTTTGAATGATGGTTGATAACTGGAATTTCCCCATTTTACTTAAAGAGAAGTCAGCTGTTTGTATTTTTACCCATGCATGTCAAAGACCCCCCCTACCCCCCAAACACACACACACACACACACACACACACACACACACACACACACACACACAGACACACACACACACACACACACACCACCACCACCTCTTTAAGATAACATTTAAAAACAAGAAGCAGCAATCAACTAGAACTAATATGTCTGTTTCTGGAACAATACAGTGAAAGTCTCCTACAGGCCTACTGCCAGGGCACAAAGCCTTTATAGCACAACATATAGCTACTTGCACACAAAATTCAATATGTAAATAGTAACCTAGGTAGAGGATTTGTCAAACATTAACTGTTAACCACGTATACTATAAAACTACCATGTAGGTGTGCTTTATTGGTTGGACCACAGCACTGGGTTTGAGACCAGAGCCCATTAGAAATTTCTGTCTCTTTTTCTCCCTACTCTGTCTCCCCATAAACTTCACACATCATTTGAATAAGACACCAAAGGCTATGGAGGACCAATCCTGCCCTAATTAATATCAATAAACAGAATTAAATAAATGCTTCAAAAATAAATACGCATGGTGTGTCTTAAGGGGTCACCTTCTGCCCATTGGTTGGTTGGCAGCCAGCGGCCCTAGTCACAACAAACATGGCTACCTATCATGAAGTTGTCTGAGTTAGCTGAGACATTTAGCAACTGTTTTTGAAAACAATGCTAACGTTATAGTATAGTAAAGTATTTACTTTATTATTTTTCGTTTGGACGCTCTGACAGACCGTGTGTTTCAGTTAGCGCCAACACATGGACACAGAGGTCAACAATGTAGTTTTTCAGAATCAGGAGCAGGCGGCCCATCTTATTTATTTCTTTATTTTTAATTATAGCAGGATTGGTCCTCCATAAAAGACAGACAAAGGGTGTCTGTTAAATAAAACTTTGTTACCGTATTTTCACGACTATAAGGCGCACTTAAACGTCTTTTTTTTCCCTCAAAATGTGCGGTGCGCCCTTTGGTGCGGTGCGCCCTATGTGTGTTGTAACTGCGACTTTTGAGACCACCTCATTGAGGAGATGATGAAAGAGTGGCTGAATGTAAGGAGACCAGGTGTTTTTTTTCCACTCATCACCATCGCTGGTAATCTGTGACTACATGCGTGCCCATCTCACAGCTGATGTGAAAAACATGGTGAAACAAATTAACGCAGTGCTCGCTGTTCAACCGCTCGACATCGGTCTGAACCGGACCCAGCAGGTGCAGCAGAAGCAGCGTGTTTACATGCAAAGTCAATGGTTGACGCGCGTATAGGCGCAACAAAAGGTCCCGCAGCGCGTTTTGAGCAGCAGGCGCTGCGCGTCGTGAGCGTTTAAGCATCTGACGCACCGCCAACACGCTGCTGCTGCTCGAGATGGAAAAATTGAAGTTTTGCTGCTGGACGCGCCGCATCAACCAATCAGAGAAGCTGATCTGGGAGCTGACAGCGAGACAGACACAGCGCTCTGATGACATATTATATTAACGCAAATGAAAAAGGCTGGATGGATGAGGAAATGATGAAAGCGTGGCTGAGGCAGGTGTATGTGAGGAGACCAGGTGGTTTTTTCCACGCATCACCATCGCTGTTAATCTGTGACTGTGTGCCCATCTCACAGCCGATGTTAAAAAAAAAGGTGAATCAAATGAACGCTGTTATCCCGGGAGGTCTGACAAAGGAACTTCAACCGCTCGACATCGGTGTGAAGCGGCCGTTCAAAGTAAGGCTGCAGGCGGCGTGGGAGCGATGGATGACAGACGGAGACCACAGTTTCACGATAAGTGGAAGGCAGCGCCGGGCAAGTTACGCCACCGTTAGCGGATGGATTGTTGATGCTTGGACTAACGTGTCTGCTGGCTCTGTTGTTCAAGCTTTCGCAAAAGCCGGCATTATTTCTGAGGAGCCGCGCTGCACGGAAAGTGACTCCGACAGCGAAGAAGGGGAAATTGGCATGTCTGATTTAGCGCAGCTGTTTAATTCAGAAACAGAGGATGATGACTTTGATGGGTTTGATTAATACTTTGTAATAAATACATGAATAAAGCACAATCATACTCAGTTTTGCTCCCGCTCCATTTTTCTACCTGAGAACTTAATTCAACAGCAGCCTCTGGGCGGGTCTCCTCCTCTTCACCGCGGTGGCTGGCAGGTGATTTTTCATCTAAATAATCTAAATCTTGCAGCTATATTTGCTGTGATCAGTGGGAGTAAAGTAGTTTCAATATGTTTTTAAGTGAGAAAGGCCACCTGAAAACTTCATAATTGCAGTCAGTTCATCCAGATTATTATCCTGCCTATACTATTTCTGTAGGAGGCGCTCAGACCCCCACATACCAGCGGTGCACCGACTGTAGAAATCCCTTCATCAGCAGCCTCTGGGCTGGGCAGCCTCCGGGTTCACCGCGGTGGCTGGCAGGTGTTTTTCATCTAAATAATTTAAACTGCAGGCACCAGGATACCGGTAATAAAAGCGAACATTTTCTGTCGGCAGTTTTCAGGATTTTAAGTTAATTTAGGAGTGATCACAGGGCTGTGTCATCTGCGATGTGTCTGTCTCACGGCCAGCTCCCAGGTTTGATTAATACTTTGTAATAAATACATGAATAAAGCACAAACATACTCAGTTTTGCCCCCGCTGTATTTTTAAATACGCAGTAGAGGTATTTAAAGGTAGTAGAGGACATGTACCTGTATATAAAAAACGCGCCCTATAGTCCGGTGCGCCTTATGTGTGTGTTAAATACAGAAATGGGACACATAACTGAGAGTGCGCCTTTTAGTACGGTGCGCCTTATGGTCGTGAAAATACGGTAAATAAAAAACAGCACAACAAAATGTGTTCAGGCTCTGTGGATTTCTTTACAGACGTCATACCTACCGTTTCCCTTTACTAACTCTAGGACCACTGTGTCAAATTGATTGTCCTATTCCAAACTGCCAAGCACTCCTTCTGCTTAATAGCTAAATTAATTTAATTAATCAAAACCTTTTTTTAACGTGTCCCACAAACAAGAATTAGCAATGGCACACTAAGCCCAGAAAGACATTTATGTGGGTGCAGGTTTATAGAAATCTAAAGTCAAATCCATCCGGAAAAAAACTCAGCAGAAGGCAACAAACAGCTACATTGCTTTCTTGCAATGTAAGAGATCTCTAAACTGTCCCACATCATAATTTTGTTTTAAATTAATTTGAAAACATTCAGGTAGTGGGTAGAATTTGAACATCGCCGGCTGCTTTTTCTCTTCCTTATTCAATGCACGCTGCATTAAATGGGATCATTATTCAGTACAAGGTCAGTTAGGAACGGTGATTTTCGAATTTCAGCAGATCATCAAGAGACCCTGCTTTATCACAGATATTCTGCAAGGTGATGGCTGAAGCTTGGTTTGGTTCCAGCTTATCGACGGAGTTCAGGATTCACAGGGAACTTTTGGAGCATTTTCTTGTTCCTTGCTTGGTCACGCTTACGCCTGGCCAAATGGATCACGGCCATCTCAGACCCAGTCCATTTGAGCTGCCTTGGCAAGCTTTAGGGAAAATCTTTCTCTGAATCACACTTGTAAGTATGAGAGGTACTTGTATAGGCTGTGAGGCCTAGTGGTGTAGTTAGTGCTTTTATAGAGTTTTTGTTGCAAAACCACTAAGAGGTTCTTTTGTAAAATGTTTGCAATGATTCGGTGTATCTACAAAAGAGTAACAGAAATATGTTCCTCATCAGATGTTTTGAGTTGCTTTTAATCTTTCATGTAAAGGAGATGAGATGGGAACAATCTAATGGCAGGAATAAAAGGAATGAAAGAGAAAGGTGGAAAGAGGGTGGGAGGAATCAAGGGATCGCTTCAAGATTGTGATTCGCGGTAGTGGGAGTTGATGAGGAGGAAATCCCTCTTGGCCTAAAGAGGCTTCCTCCCTGGGGCTTTAAAAACACATGGGGCTGCTGTGGATCTTCACCCCAGTTCTAATAGGAAACAGATTCCCCAACTGTGATGTTAACGCAATATCCAAGAAAAATATGATGGGTATGTTTGAAATGCAAGGATATCTTCATAGGAGTTAATGTTCTTTCCAGGAAAACTATCAATACCACAATGTTTCCAGTTACAATGACAAACTTAAATGGATTTTATTTCAAACATTATGAAAAACCTAGTGAATAGTTGACATAGATATATATCTGTACATTTCTTTTACAAATTAAATTTCTAAAGTGTTGTTTCTGGTTTGCCCTAAATATAATCCAGTGCTGATCAAAAGTCTGAATGTATAGAGGAAAGAAAAATAGCACAATAGTCTGGAAACACCTCTGTCTGCTTATGTTGACTATAAAACATTTTTCTTCTTGTCTCTGCAGTGACTTATCTATACAGTGGGATCAGTTGCCGAGACCATACTCCTCCACTGACCGAAGCAGTTCCCTTGGTTCTATGGAAAGCTTGGACACACCAACGCCCACTGCACAGCAATTCTCGGACTCCCACAATTCACCTGTTGACCCCACCCTCTTCAACAACAAGCGAGACTCCGCCTACAGCTCCTTCTCTGCCAGTTCAAACACTTCTGACTACGCTACGGTGCCTCTTAGGCCTGGTGAAGCCTCCTCCATGGATAACCTCTTCCAGAGCCTCGGCCCAGCATATCAAGGATACTCTGGTGATGCCTCCACTCTTGGGAGGTCATCTGGTGAGGCACAAGATCAGGCGCATCTAATTGTGCTCAAGTCCAGATCGTTGACCAGGCCAAAACCAAAGTCCACCGAGATAAAAGAGAGGCCATCATCCTGCTGTTATGGACAGGGCCAGACAAAGGGGGATTTGGAGATTGTAAGGAATGGAGATTCTCAAATGGAGAGAAAGAACAACCCCCCTCTGCCTCCAACTCGTAAGGACAGCTTTAGGGCAACCCGGAGTCGCCCTAAAGCTGCCAACAGCTGCTGCACCTCGGCTCCACTTGAAGATTGCAGCGTTTCTTATTGTAAAGACAACCTGCCTTGTCTGAACGTTGATTCTGCAATTGAAAATGGTTTCCCTGTATCAGAGAAGGGTGATCAAAGTGAAAACTTCAATACGGATTCAGAAGACTCAAAATTTAGCCAAAGACAGACTGAAAAACCTATACATCAGAGATGCGATAGTAGCTCTGAAACTGACTCTAAATCAGAGACTCAATCAGAACACCTCTTCGACTTGGTTCCATCCCCAAAAGTTACCATCAGTCCTTCTGTTTCACCTTACTTATCCTCTGAATCTGCTAAAGAGATTCAGGGGGAGTCCCATGTAAACCACTGTCAAACGAAGCACTCATCCACAGGCCTTCACCGGCACAGTGCCCCCGAGAAGCTACTCGCCACTCAACTTCAGCTACTGCAGTTAAACAACCATGATTCCTCTCTGGAGCCCTTTAACCCATCAAACACTCCTGGTCCCTCAGTATCCTCCAGCAACCAGTGGTCTACCGATTTGTCCCTCCAGAACACAACTGAGGACCCAGCACTTCCCACATCACATAAGCGGGAAAGTAGCCGATGCTCGACTCCAGGATCTGTGTTCGTAGAGGGAGAATGTGAGGACGGGGGCTCAAGTCGAAGGCTGGAAGGATTGGATGTAAATGGGAAGTCTCCCTCACCAATTCATCACCATACCCCTTGGGGTCGTTCTGTAAGTGTACCAGGTGAACCAACTGGAGAAAGGATAACCTCTGATCAGCTAGCAGAGGGTGCCTTTCAGCCGCTCAGTGCAGCTGCCAGCATGGATACATTACTGGACGAGCAAATACTTGTGAAAAAGGGGGGGACTGGGGTTAAAAATGAAGAAGTGGCAGAAACAGAAGTAAGCACGAAGAAGTCGAGCTCCTCCAAAAACCTTCGGCGGAACCGTCGGCGCAGTGAGCGCTTTGCCACCAACCTACGGAATGAAATCCAAAGGAAAAAGGCCCAGCTTCAGCGTGGCCATGGACCAGGAGGGCTGCTGTGCAGCAGAGAGACCGTCCAAGAAGAGGAGGGGTCAGACCTTTGCGAAGATGGAGCAGACTCAAACAGGCCTGTTCAGAACAATTGCACCAAAGTTGCCTTTGCCACATCGGCGGTCCCTGAGGATTCTCAGGCTTCATCACAGATGAAGACGTCAAACACCTCAGGAGAGTCAGACTTCGGTGTCCTCAAGACCACATTGTTAACTCAGGGCAATAATCGATCAAGGTCTGTTCAGATTCTAGATCCGGGCGTTCCCAGCTTTGGTGTTGGCATTAGAGTGGTTGAGGAACCTGCTCCTGCTGGTAAGGCTCGCCGCTGGCGATGGACCCCAGAGCACAAGCTCCAGCCAGAACCTGATCAAGAGCAACAGTGTGGAGTCTTGGGCAATAGGGTGTTAGGAGTAACTGGGTCACGGCATGGAGTTTGTGCCTTCAGCTCCTCCTCAAGCTCCTCCTATAGCCGCTCCTCTTCTAGCTCTCGATCCGAAGAGTCGGATATACTTCCGTTTGCAGATAGAATGAAGTTTTTTGAAGAGACTTCCAAAGGTATGCCTGTGTCAAACGCCTCAAAGAGGATCAGTCACAGGCAGAACCATCAGGATAGGCAATTAGATCAACAGAGAGGGGAGATCAGCAACAATTCAACCCAAATGAGATACTCCTACCAGGGAGGAGTACAGCAGGAAGGTGTCCATTTTCCAAACACAGTAGAATCCAGAAGGCAGTCTGTGAGTGCCTTCAGGAAGAGACCGAAAGAGATAGCGAGGGAACAACTGAGGGAGAGGGAGGTGAGGTTTAGGGAGATAGAGAGGCAGCAGGAGCTAGAAAGGCAAGAAAGAGAATTAGAAATGGAGCGGGCAAAGCTGAGAGAGATTCAGCGAGAGGAAAGGATGAGGCAGTGGGAGAGAGAACGAGAGAGGGAACTGGAAAGGACAAAAGCGGCTGAGAAGGAAAGGATGGAAAATCAACAGTTCCCCTCACATCCGGACTGTTACAGTAGCCCTAGCATCAGAGAACAAGGAAACTTCCAGTATAAGGACCAGTTCTACAACTGGTCCGGACAACAGACATTTTCTCATTGTCAAAACCAAGTCCCGCATTCAGCTTTTCATCTCGTCAGAAATCATATGCAGCCAGAGAACCAAGAGGCTTTCCATCAGGGATACAACACAAGGAGCTACACCCCCACAGAGGTAGGAGGAGTTTCATCATTGTAGACATAACCAGATTTACATTACACAATCATTAAAGGTGCAAATATTTGAAATCTGACATAACTGCTGGTATGAACGTTTATTGATATCAAACAGAGGGATTTCAAACAGCCTTTCTGTTATCTGCTAGGGTCAGTCTTCTTTTTGTCTCTTTCTGACCAAATGTTTCCAACATTAAGTCCTGTTTCAGACCGCTTTCCTACCTGTATGATCAGTTGATCTGCCTCATTAGAAGGTAGTCTTCTTGTGAACAGCTTCTGACATAGTTTTGCTTCTTTGTTTTAAAAACCTCTTAATCTGTAGATCCTGTTAACATTCTTATCACAGTAATAACCTACAAGTGTTGTGTTTAGCGTGACGTAGCACAGTTTAGATGACGTGCTGTCAGTATTTTTCTATTAATCTTTCACTTTTAAAACACGTTCCAATTAAAAACCCATTAATGGATAGTTTGTGACTATCCAGTAATAACAAAAAAAAGTCAGAATTCTGACTTTTTTCTCATATTATACTGAAATAAAATGTAAAAATCAGTTCACTTTTTTTATTTTTTCAGTGGCCCCTTATCCTTTTAGGTAATATTGAATATTTCTAGAACTAAACGTAACTAAAGCTCTTCAGTGAGGAGAAAAAAAGTCTGACCCCCGAAAGACTAAAAACTAACTCTATTTTGTCAACCAGCATCTAAAAGGATCTAGCGGCCGCTTTTGGATCTTGAGTTAAATTGTTGCTCTGTCCAAGTCCTCCGTGGTTGAATGGTTGGTCTGAAGCTGAACCTCACATCCTGGCTGTGGTCAAGGTCTGAAGATCTCATAGAAAGTTGGACGGATCTTTGAAATATTTCATGGAATTGAGGGTAGATTGAGCAACGACATTGCTCTATGGTTCTGGTGATAATAGCAGTGTTGGGTTACAGCCTCACCGCAAATTGATTCGAATCCCTGGAGAGCAGGGTCGAACCTTTACAATTCCCCTGAAATACATCCTCTAAGTATCATTATCGGTTGACACAGACTAATCCAAACTGACATTTGTTTTGGGACTCAACACATCTTAAGATCAGCAAATATTTCAGCCAAGCGGACCAGGTTTTGTTGTTCAGAGGGACTTTGCTATGCTTAAGCCTTGGGGGGGATGTTGAACCCTGCACTCCTGCATCCCAGGGTGCTTTTTAAATCAAAGCTCGGGGCTCTGATGCCACAGTGATAACCTTGAGTGGTGAAATCTACCACTTACTACGTGTGGTATTCTTAATGGGAACAGATGTGCCGGACTTGTCCCTTTGCAGACACAAACTCATGTTTATGAACATCATTCTATCAGGAATGTATTATCTATTAAAGTGAAAACTTTATCTTTATTTCTCCCCAGACCAAACCACAACGTTAAAGTGGTCAGACACTGAATCTGCTGCATATTGAAATTGTTTGTGGGTTGTTTTTTTTTAATAAAAGTGGCTGCAGTTAATCTTATTTGTTTATGTCAATATTCAGTTTTTTTCCATTTCAAAAACATACAATAAAAATACAGTAAAGTACATGAATGACAATTTGGTTGAATGCCAATAGAGGCTGAATGAGTGTAAAGAGCATCACAGTATGTTTCTGGTATTCCTTACTTTAGAGCAGAGCTCACTTATTAGCAGACCGCGGTTTGGATCCAAACCCACCTGCTGGCTAATCTTGACCTAACCTGATTTAAAACATTCATGAATTACTGCATGTTGTCCGACGACAGAACCAAACTACACTTTAGCCGCCTCTCCTGTTAATATGGTAAACCCTCCCGCGTGTCCGGGACTAGGCTACATGTGATACAGATTAGCCAATGAGCTGCTGTCAGTCTGGGTTGCTGCTGCTGCTACTTTTAGACACAACAGGCAAACCTGTGGTAAGCCTGGCGATGAGAAAGAAGGAGAAGATGATGAGAAAAAGAGAAAGAAAGTGTGGACTACTGTCCATATTTTTTTATATAAAAAAATCAATGTATAACATGGATGATTATACGCCTAATTTTATTTCAGTGTTATTTACTAGTTGATGATTTTCTTTGTTCGGACCCCGCTGATTTTTAATTGGTTATCTCTGCTATAGAGAGACTTAATATAAACAATAAATGCAAGATAAAATTAATCATACAGTAGATTTGAAATTATAATAGCAAGAAAAACAGCAGGACACCTTTAACTTCGTTTATTTATTTGTTTTTCAAAATTTAAAGATATATATTTTAATGTCTTTACTGCGAAACTAAAGGTAAATTCTTTGTTTTTCTGTAGAAATTCAGCCAAAAAGAGCTGATTTTGTTTGTATGATCTCTTCTTCAGGTAGGATTTTAAATTTAAGTTTTTACACAGAACCCACCAAACATTTCCAGATGCCTTGTTTAAGTTACTCTAAAACCCACAATTGAAATATATCCTTTAATCTAAAATAATGAAATTTCCCTTATTGTTCCGTTTAAATGGAGAAGGTTCGCCGAGCCGTTTTTAAAAGGGGGCGTATTTATTTTGCAGTGGTTACTTTGCTCTATTTCTAGGACATTATGCGCTGCTGAAAGCAGGTGGCTGAATATATAAAAGTCTTCTCCTATCATGCCAAGAAAAATACCATCTGGGTGTTCTGAGAAAAGCAGGATCTGTTCCATTACTGTGTTTTTGTGCAGCCTCCCCACCCTGATGGGATCTAAAGGAGACATTCACCTCTAAAACATGAGAGGGCAGTAAGTTTGTTAAGCCCTCTTTCTCCTCTGGTTTGAAACAACATGCTTGTAGCAGTGTGTTCAGTCGCATCTCATAGGACGATCTGAATTAGTTTGCTAATAACCATCTCTTTGAATTCTTTAAAACTATGATTGTAACAAAAATTATAGGAATATCAACAGTTTAGTGTGCAGTAAAGGACAAATTCTAGAAACTGATCTGTTACCCCTGTTGGGCTTTAGATATGTTGGTGAAAATCAGCTCAATGAAAAATTGTTTAGCAAGTACTGATTCTATGAATAAAGAAGAAAAAATATTGCTAATGGATGGGGGGAAAGCATGTAATGCTAACTGTAAACAGCAAATCTGGGGTTTTTTCACTTGAAAAGCACTGAAGCCGGGCGTACACAGCGATTTCTTTCAATGGTTGCATGCAGCTACAGCTCACACTGTACGACAAAACCCTTTCATCGTACAGTGTGAGTTTACAGCTCACGATGCATGTTCTCACACTGTGCGACCCGACTATCTGATGCAATCTACCTGCTCACACTGTATGTCTAAAATCCGGGTCGGACTCAGCTCTGCAGTTAGATGAGATAAGACTCGTCTATCCGGAAGCCAAATGAGTAGAAGAGGAATATGAAGCTCACTAAAGCGAAACTTGCTGCTTTGGTAATTTGTGCAATTTTGTCCTGAAAGCCCTAAAAAGAAAAGGCGACAACTTATTTGGACAAAGACATGGCTGAGCAAATGTGGCTACTACGGTCTGTCAATTTTACAGAAAGAGTTAGATTTCACTCGCACCCCGATTCCTGATCAGGAGGTGGTCGTGAGAGGCTTATTGCCCCTCATTACCCCCTTTACACTACACGACACACGATCAGGCTGAAAGTCGGCCCGATAGAATAATTCTCGCACAACTGTAAAGTCGGCCCGAAAAAGGGCAAAAAATTGCACTGTGTATTCCTAGCTTAAGCTTCAGTTGTCAGATAGGGCAGACAATGTTTCCTGATCCAGCATAATCCGTAATACAAATAATTTAAAATCCAACAGTATAAAACAAATAAATTTAGCTGCAATAAATAGAGCCTTCCTGTTATCCCCTGAAAGTCTTACTCTCTCTCAGCTTGAATAAACGGTGAGCAGGTCTCAACAAGTTGTCTAAATTAATTTCTTCTCTACTTCCACTGGCTCCTCGTTAGTCTCTGACTCCTTGATCCGGCTGAAAATACCTCATTTCCAATCATCACCTGGTTTGTGTAATTCCTTATTAGACGAGTTGGAATAAGTTTAAGGTGATGGGAAAAAATGCTGGAACTGAGACTAGACTAAATTTACACACAAATGTTGACAAATAGTTAAGTGGTGCGCAAACAAGCGTTTGGGTTCAGTTGTACCTGATAGAAAGATAAAAAAAAGAATGTGGCAAACAACAATAGAAGGAAGAAAGTGCCTTAATGTAGCAGAAAAGGCCTCCACCCTAATCAGCTTTGTTTCCGCCCAAGAATATTGCAGGGTGGAGGAGCACACCCACTTCCCTTCAGCTGCTCCGACCCACTGTATCCACTGTACAGATCCTTTTTTTTATTCTTCATGTTAATAACCTCATCCAATCTCTTTGCAGATGTTTCACTCTCCGCAACAGGAAACGACCAAGCTTGGCAGGAAGTACAGCCTGACAGAGAGGTGAGTTTCTCAATTTGAACTACTTTCATCACGTTTACTCATCAAACATGAATCTCTTACTTTTCGCTTTTTGTCGGAAGGCAGCGTTCAAGACACTCACCTGCTTCAATAACCCTCCAGGGTCACTAGGCGGGGTGGTCTATCGGCAGGCGGAAAGCCCACTTAGTCACGGCTGGCTGTGATTTAGGTCTAATGAGCTCTAAGTGTGGGGGGGGCAATCATCCATTCCCAAAGTGTGACCACAGTGAAATGCACAGTATTTGGATGTATATAAACATGTAATAGACGGGAGGAGAAAGGCATGTAGGGTATGTGAGGCCTCCGCTCATCTCTGACCTAAAGTGACCTGGGAATCCAGAAAGGAAGCCATTGTTTGAGCTTTTACTGTAATTTTTTATTTTGTCTTTGCAGCAAATTTTATGTTTTCACACCAGTCCTTCAAGACAAGCTATACAACATTAACGTATAACAAATATATCCATATTTCCTGTTTTTGTTTAAGCGTTCCATCAAGCTCAAACCCTACCTAACAGGCAGAGCATTTCAAGATTCATGTTAACGCCGAGTTTTCGGATGTCAAAAAAGCCCTCCAAACAAACGAGTGCTGAGCAAAAACCCTATAAGTTATTCAAAGAAATGTTTCACTGTGAGCGTCAGACGTCCCTCGACTTTGATTTTGCCAACTTTGATGCATGTGCGTCATTCAGAACAATATTTATGATGATGTAAAAACAGTTAGTCTCATTCGTTTTTCTCCCCTCTTCTCGTCGTAAACCAATGGAAAAAGGCTGAGATTTTCATCAACTTCAGACTCCATGGATGCTCTGTATCTAAACTGTCTCACTTTGATCTGTTTTTCTAAAGATGGATGTGACCCATCCACCATAAACTCTGCTTTGTTTTTTGATTTATGTCTTACGGCTTTCCATCCACTCAGAGACTACTCTAGCTGGAGACGAGAGTCCAGGCCGCCGCAGAGCGTCCATCAGCAGCAGCATCCCCTTCATCAGGCGCAGTGGGACTCCAGACGGCCCGCCAGTCGCAGCGATGACCGAGACGGCTGCACCGCCGCCCCCCCGCCGGCTCCCCTTTACCTCCGAGGACGAGCCATGTCTGAAAACGACCTGCGCTTCGAGAGCAGCCACCGCTGGTCGCCCTCTATTTACGGCTCCGTGAGCCAGACCCTGAGCAAGATGGAGGAGGGCGGAGACCCGACCAGCGCCGCCAGGCAGAGGAAGAAGAAAACGCCTCCTCCGCCCAGACCACCACCGCCCAAATGGGAGCAGTTCCACAGCCGACGGGCCTCCCACCACGCCCTGCTGGCGTCCTCGCCGTTCGCTGCCCCTCCCTCCCTCAGCACGGATGGACGCCACTCGGCTCACTCCCTCTCCTACGCCCCCCCGCCCGATACGTCGCGGCAGAGGTCCTACAGCCTGCCCCCGGAGAGGCAGGAAGCAGAGAGCTGTTTTCAGTGCAGCTGCAGCCGAATCCAAACCTCAACCCTATCCCAGCCGTCCAATCAGAGCACAGCTCCGCCCAGCCCCATGCTGTCCAGGAAGGGCTTCAGGCCAGTGGCCCCGCCCCATGATGAGAGGGAGGATGAGGTAGGGGCGGGGCCTGCAGCTTGTCCACCAGCTGACAGCCCAGTGAGCAGGTGAGGCGACATCATGACCTTTTGTTAAAGCGTTTTAGCTGTAATATATTCTCCATCTATTTAAAGCAGCTGATTTACATTGATAGTTAATTAACATTTAATTATCTATCAATTTAAAGCAGCTGATTTACATTGATAGTTAATTAACATTTAATTATCTATCAATTTAAAGCAGCTGATTTACATTGATAGTTAATTAACATTTAATTATCTATCAATTTAAAGCAGCTGATTTACATTGATAGTTAATTAACATTTAATTAACTATCAATTTAAAGCAGCTGATTTACATTGATAGTTAATTAACATGTAATAAACCATCGATTTAAAGCAGCTGATTTACATTGATAGTTAATTAACATGTAATAAACCATCGATTTAAAGCAGCGAGGCGGTTTCTGAAATGTCATTTCTCTCCCAGTTCATCTGGAATGGATGTGAGCCACAGTCTGGATCCCGAATCACAGCCTGGCGTCAGACCTGAGGCCTACTGGGAGAGAGCCGCCGCGCCTTCCCCCAGCTCAGAAAATTGTCGTCCTGCTGACGCTCACTACAGCCAAGCAGATCAGCAGCAGCAGGTGTTTATAAGCAGAGGCTTCCAGGCTGACCAGAGGCAGAACCCCCCCGAGTCTGGAACCGAAGCCACGCTGAGCCCGAGCCAGAGCCCCGCCCACAGCCTGGACGCAGAGCTGGAGGTTCCCATGGAAACAGACATTGATGATTTCCAGGAGCTGCCCGTGGAGGAGCTGCCCATCAGCAGCGAGCTGCCATGCTTCGCTCAACCTGTCACAGTCCTGGAGACGGATATCGACACGCTGCCTGATCCGGGAGACTCGCCGTCAGCCGAAGCTCTGGATGGGAGCGGCTCGCTGGAAGAGGAGGAGGAGGAGCTGGAGCTTTTCCCGCCCAGCGGGGAGGGAGAGTCGGAGACGGAAAGCTGGAGGGGAGGCTGCCCGTCTGCGGAGCACAACACCGACAGCCTGGACAGGTAACTCCACCCCCACCTGACGTCAGCAGCTCCATTTATTATCATTCATCCATGAACCGTTTCCTCTGCTGGTTCTTCTCGCTTCAGGCAGTCTGGGGCGAGCTCCAGCTGTTCGTCTTATTACCACACATCAGCAGCCAAGGCTCAGATTCTGTCCCAGATGAAGGACTTCACCGACCGCGGAGAGAAGCTCCAGGAGGACGAGCTCACCTACAAGGTAGACGCAGGAACCCAACCTCATGTGGATCGGGTCCATCCCTACAGCATGTGTTCTGTGAGGTTTTACTGACTCCAACCAAATAGTTTCAACCATCTAGATGAGGAAGTGTCAGATTTTAGGACAGGGTTGCCGCAGGTCATTAAAAATCATTAAAATTCATTAAATTATTTTTTAAATGACGGTTTTAATTGGCATTAAAATTCATTAAATGTGATTATCGTGGCATTTAAAATGCTTTGTTTGAAATAAATAAAAAACAATTTTAATAAAATATATTAGATATAACTGGTTCCGTGTGTTTGCGTGGAACTGTTTCCAGTTGATCGGAACACCGTATGTTTGTAAAAGAAGCACGAGGCGGAGAAAAAGCTAGAGAACTGGGAAAATGCAGATTTCAACTAAAGTGGCTGGAAAACGAGGAATTCTAGACATGGCTGCAGCCTGTCGACGGTAATGATAACGGAGGATTTTGCAGTGTTATTAAAATATATATATATATATATATATATATATATATATATATATATATATATATATATATATATATATATATATATATATATATATATATATATATATATATATATATATATATATATATGTATGTATGTATGTATGTGTATATGAGAGTCATGGGTACTTGTTGATGGCATTAAAATTATTTCTAAGAGCATTAAAACAACGTTAAAAAGCATTAAATTAGAGTTACTCATTCCTGTATAAACCCTGCAGAACTAATTTCCTCTTAAAAATACAACAAAGTAAATCAAGAATTTAACGCAAACTTTAGGTACCTGTTTAGAGGTTACATTTAACTTTTCCCCCCTAAATACTGACTTTATTTGATGTTACTTTTGATGATTTATTTGTGATGAAGCCGTTCCCCCTGTAGTACCTCCTCAAACCACCAGAGGCTGCTATCCTGTCGTGAAAGACCTGTGGGCTAGATGTTGATTTAAAATTCAATACAATTTAGTTTTATTTATATAGTGCCAATTCACAACACATGTCACAGGGTTTAAAAGTCATTAAATTATAAATTTTTAAAATAAGGCCTTAATTGGCATTATAATTCATTAAGTGTGATTATTGTGGCATTTAAAATGCTTATTTAAAAAAAAGACTGAGAGAGAGTTTCTTGACTGTGTTGAAAAAGTTCAGGCTCAGGATTTTTCTTCGCTTTAATCCCTGGAGCAGTTCAAATGGTTTTGGAGTGAGTGAGGTTTTTAGCAGAGTTACCAGCGATGACGAAGGGCTGCCGTCTGTTTTCCGGTTGTGAGTTGAAAGCTTTGTTTCTGTGTTGTGCAGAAGCAGCTGATGGAGAGCCTCCGTAAGAAGCTGGGAGTGCTGAGGGAGGCTCAGAGGGGCCTGCAGGAGGACATCAGGGCCAACGCACAGCTGGGAGACGAGGTGAACTACTGTTTAATCACTAGATTAAATAAGAGTTATTTTTTACTTAGAAATCAGGATTTGGCTTTTAATCAAAGAAAAAAAGAAACAAGGTTCCCTAAATAAGGTTGAAGGTTAAGTTGAATAACAGGTCAGTTCAGGTGTTTTATAAAATAGGTGAATCAGGAAATTGTCTTTATACCAAACTGAACGATTGACATGGATGCATAAAAACCTCATTTTATTTCAGTGTTAAATTCTGTTGAAAGTAACAGATTATAATTAAAAATGTCTCCAGACCTTTACTGGTTGATGATTTTCTTTATTCAGACCCTGCTGATTTTTAATTGGTTACCCCTGATCTACATCTTTCAGTGTCCAGGTTCTGGATCCTCCTTATAGGACTTTATCCCTGATCTCTATATGTTCCCTCTGCCTGCTTCTGAAACCCTTCAGGTGGAGAACATGGTGGTGGCGGTGTGCAAGCCCAATGAGGTGGACAAGTACCGCATGTTCATCGGCGACCTGGACAAGGTGGTCAGCCTGATGCTGTCTCTGTCTGGGAGGCTGCTCAGAGTGGAGACCACGCTGGACACGCTGGATCCCGAGACGGAGCACCAGGACCGGGTGAGGAGGAGGAGGAGGAAAAGGAAAACCAATTTCAATTGAAAGGAGTCTAATCTCTCCATCCTGTGTCTGCCCTATAGCTCCCCCTGCTGGAAAAGAAGCGTCAGCTCATGAGGCAGCTGTCCGAGGCTCAGGACTTGAAGGACCACGTGGATCGCAGAGAGCAGGCCGTCAGCCGGGTTCTGGCCCGCTGCCTCAGCCCGGAGCAGCACAGAGACTACAGGTGAGCAGGAATTCACCTCGCTATCAACACGGAGCAGAAACTATCCTGGAGTTACACCTTTTCCTCTGTACTCTCTTTTTTTTCTTTCCCCTTAAGCCACTTTGTGAAGATGAAGGCTGCCTTGCTGGTGGAGCAGAGGCAACTCGAGGACAAGATTCGTCTGGGAGAGGAGCAGCTGAGAGGACTGAGAGAGAGCCTGGGCCTGGGAATGGGAATGGGTTTAGGAATATCAATGGGATACGGACATTACTGAGGATAAAGCTGTAACATTCAGTCCAAAAAGCAGACCTCATGCTTTCATGTTAAACACATACTGAAGGATGGTAACTTGCGCATCTATCTTGACTTTTCTTTGATGGAGCTAAATATGAAGCTGCTGCAGACAGTAAGTTAAGCATAAATCTAGGTATTAAAAGCCACTGACTGTTCACCTGCAACCACTGCAACAAGTCAGGGTTAAATGATCTATTCCAGCTCCAAATCACCAACTGACAACCCTGAAGGTGCTTCTAAGCAAACAATAAGGGATTTTTTTTAACAATAACAGCGACAAGATCCGCTTGAAGAGGGGAGCGACTCTGAGAGGGCATACCATTTCCAAGACAATGACGAAGAACTCAAACACTTTGTGCCTTAAACAAGTACTGTACAATTAAAAGTCTCATTACGTATTTTACGTTGTTCTACACTCTGTCGCCAAAGACTTTGACTGTCATTCACTTCTGTGTTCTTTTGTATTTAAATCTCCTGGTTCAGAGAAGCTGGGGAGGTTATCTTTGGTGCTCTGTATAACCACACTAAAGCCAACATTTCTCAGCTTTATTTACTTTAAAGCATCGATTCAGCTTCATATAAACTGTTGTATCGTCTGGTTTTGTGTTATTTTGTGTCACATTACTGTATTTGTGGAGAGTTTGACACTCTGTTCACTGTCATATAATCTTTATTTGCAGATAGGCAAGGCGTTTGTTATGAATGTGGTTTGTATATTATGGTTTAGATTTTTTTTTTTTAAGGAACATTTGTTGTAAAAGATGAGTGAGAAGATCTGGAAAAATTGAAGTTTACTGTAAATGTTTACAATGAATGAAAGAATCCGAGGAGGAGGGATGGTTCTGTTGCATCACGTGACGTTAAGATAATTAATAACATTTTCAGCATTTTATCCCAAATCATAACCTTTACTGACTTTGAAATTTTTATTTAATTTCATTTCATCCAGTGCAGACAAATTTGGATACAAAACCAACCTTTTTGTAAACACATTCTAATTGGTTATTATCTATCTTGCTAGATTAGGACAGAACATTGGCAAAAAAGAGGTATTTGATCAGAATATATATGTTAAACAAAACCGTGATAAAAAAGAAAAACTAAACATTTCAGAAAGTTATATTTTAGCGGTCGCTGACTCATGTACGCTGTTAAAAAATATATTTCCATTTATGTACTTCTCAGCCTTCACCGTTGTACAGTAAAGGGCTAGCTACAAGCTAGCTTAGCATACAGACTGAAATTCTTTCACTGTCTCAAACGTTTTGTTATTTTTCTCAAAATTCACAATTAAACACTTTTTTGTTTTTGTAATGCTCAAAATATATTTGACAATAAAGGCAGCACAGAAAACCCTCATGCCAAGTCAGCAAAACTGTTCTGCTAGCTTAAAGCTCCTAGCTGTCAGCCTTTTAGCCATGAATTTTAACACGTATTTTGGTTAAAAATGGCAATAATATCAGGAAAATAGCTCCTTAAAATGTTGGCAGGTGAATTTTTACTGTAACTTTGCCTATTTAATGTGTGTGATCCAAAGGGCTAAAAATTAGCATGCTAGGTCTAAAATAGGCTCTCGCCTACATTCAAAAAGTCTTTGAAATGTCCAAACTTTTAAGTTTTAGTATTGCTGTTTTTGTACGTTCCAACTAAAGCAAAGGAATGTGTCTTTACTCCTTTTTTTTTTTTTTTTTTTTTTTTTTTTTATCCTGCCCTACGTTTTGATTCTACAGAAGAGGATTAGGGCCACTGAAAAAATTAAAGTTGTCTGATTTTTAAATATTATTTCAGTTTAATATGGGAAAAAGTAAGAATTCTGATTTTTTTCTTCAGAATACAGACTTTAATCTTAGAATTCTGACTTTTTTTCTCAAAATTCTGATTTCAATCTCAGAATTTATTCTTAGATTCTGAGAAAAAAAGTCAGAATTTGAGATTAATCTCAGAATTCTGACATTTTTCTCAGAATTCCGACTTTTTTCTCAAAATTCTGATTTCAATCTCAGAATTTATTCTTGGATTCTGAGAAAAAAGTCAGAATTTGAGATTAATCTCAGGATTCTGAAATTTTTCTCAGAATTCCGACTTTTTTCTCAAAATTCTGATTTCAATCTCAGAATTTATTCTTAGATTCTGAGAAAAAAAGTCAGAATTTGAGATTAATCTCAGAATTCTGACGTTTTTCTCAGAATTCTGACTTTTTTCTCAAAATTCTGATTGATTGATTCTGAATGCATTCTCAGATTCTGAGAAAAAAGTCAGAATTCTGAGATTAAAGTCAGAATTCTCAGATTAAAGTCAGAATTCTGACTTTTTCCTCATATTATACTGAAATAAAATGTAAAAATTTGTTAACCATTTTAATTTGTTCAGTTGCCGTAATCCTCTTCCATATGATTTGGTATCAATTTGGTCCAAATTGAAAGGAAGAAAGGAAAATGAAAGGTTTAAAAATCCAAAATGGCTGCCACAAACATCAAATACCTGGCTAGCTGCAGGAAATAAATCCCTTATAGTGCTCTAAAAGATTAGTAAAGATCTTTCTTCAGTAATTGAATGTAAAAAATGCAGAAAGGTGCATTTTTATCAGCTTGTGTTGCTAAAAGGTGTTAGCATGAGAAGTGGTTCTCTGATGTGCATCTTGAACACAATCTCATTGTACAGTTAGTTATTATGATGTGGTCTTCCACTACTTTACCGCCACCTGCAGGACAAGCAGCCGCTAGTGAAGGAAAAGGTTAACAAAACTTTTAGAAGGGACATGCTTGAAGGAATTGAGTGCCTCTTTAATTAATTAGTTTAAAAAAAGAGATGAAAAAATGCAGCAGTCAACATTGTTTCTATTTCAATGGTTAATTCCTGAAAAAATTTTCTATTTAGATTTAGCTTCAAGGGTATTCAAAGCTTCTTTATTAGCGCAGTATTCTTGGTTTTAATCAAGCCTAAACCTAAGATTTACACCAATCTTTGTTATTGTGTATATATTGAATGTGTTTCAGTGCAACGGCATTTTTATTGGAAATGTATTGATGCTATAAGGACAAACATGTTGGACCTGTAAGAGAATATTTCTTTTGTTTTCCTGTTAAATTTTGCGTTAATAAAGAAAAAAAAATATTGCAGGATGTTGTACCATAAATAATAATTATTTTTAAACTACCTCTGTGTCTCCTGTGGTGATTTATTTAGGCTTTGACTGTTTTCCCAAATGTCCTTTGTGGGGAAGTTTGCATTTTACAGATGTGTGGTTAAATAAACAAGGCTGGAGTTCATATGGAAGCTGGTAAAGGACAAGTGGAGCGAGGGGAGTAATTCAGAGGGAGCTGCAGAGATTTCCCCAGGAGGCTCGTTGAACAGAAATCATGTGTGGATAATACTAATAGTTCTGTTTACGTTGGAAGTGGAGGCTGTTAAAAATCATTTGCGGTTAAGTTAAAAGAGGAATGAGTTTAATTAGAGAGTCAGAAATAAAATTACACAGCCGTGCTGTAAAATAGAACATACCCTTTTGCAGATTTCTTCCATTTTTACATCTGTGTCACACAAACTGGATATAAAATCCACTTTTCAAAGGAGTTTTTAATATGAAACACAAAAAAAAATCACCTGATGAAACTAATCTGTATGTGAAAAGGTAAACGTTCACTAAACCTTATGACCCTTTGCCATATCAGGCAGAAACAATACAAATAAATAAAGCTTTGACATGTTTTCATATCTTTATAACGCTGTGTGGTTATTTTCATTTTTTTTCTGGGGGCTCTTGATTTGAATGCAGTCTAGACTAGTTTTTGTTTGAGGATTTGAAATGTGGACTTGTTGGTACGTTTAGATGGTGCATAATCCTAAGTATAATCTTATCATAAATATTGTCCTACCCATAACTAATTTTTTCAAATTACAGACTTAGACTTTATCCCTTGGGATATAAAGAAATCAGCATTTGCACATTACTGCACTTGCACTGCAGAACTGTACTGACCACGTCAATAAGTGAAGATTATACAGACTACACAGTGGTTGACTTGGATTATTTCACTACAAACATAAACATTAATATATTTAAATTTAGCCCAACATTAAGTGGTGTACAATTGTGAAAAAGGGGAAGAAAATTATGTGATTTTAACTATTTTTTTTCTTTTCACAGTGTGAAAAAAGTATTCATCCCCTTTTCGTCTGTGTGCAGTTGCCTGATAATGACTAGAGTCCACCTGTGTGTTTTATAATCTGCTCTGTGATGGCTTGGTGGGAATTCTAGAAAATGTAAGTGGTTTTAAAGTAAAAGTGGTTAAAAACAAGAAAAGGAGGAAGATGTGAAAGTTTGTGTGCACTGATCACATTGGAAGAGGAGCATTTGCAGAATAAATGTCCGTGGGCACATGAGCTCCAATGTGAACCGTATAAATCCTCCACCACTGAGAGGTTTAAATGTCAGAAGTTTGGTGATCAACAATGTGGTACACAGCGTGGATATGAAAAACATGCAAAAGATGTACCAATTAAATGCTGCAACTGTGGAGGAGGAGTCTACTACTGTCTATATAGGATGTGATGTCAGCAAAAGGTCTGAAGAAATAGAAAAAATTTGACTAGAGCGATGAACAGGTTATGATGAAGCTGCAAAAGGAATCCCACCAACACTGACAACATAAAAACAAGCAAAACAAATTATAAAGTCAAATTTGATTTAATATTTGTCATTTATTGTGTTGGGTTAGTTTAAACCAGGAGTTACCATCCTTTTCAAGGCTGAGGGCTGCTTTATGGCTACTGAGTTACAGGATTGGCTACCGATACTGACCTATGAACTGAGCGATCAGTGTTCACCTTCACTCCATACATAATAAACATACATTTTACTGGGAGGAGGAGGTTACTAGGAAGGAAGGAAGGAAGGAAGGAAGGATTAAATGTTTTCACGTACCCCCTGCAATGAATTCACTGCAAAAACAATCAAGAAATAAGTAAAAATGTCTTAAATTAAGTGTATTTACCATTAATTTAAGTAGGTAAACAAGATGATTTGCCAATAAAATGAGTATTTCTACTCTTGAAAAGAGATAAATAATATGCACTCGAAATCAGACAATGAAATTATTTTTTCTTATTTTAAATGTTAATCGTCTTGTTCCATTGGCAAAGTGTTTTATTACCTTCTTAATTTAAGAACAAATGCACTTTAAGAAAAAAAAGCCTCGTTTAGATTTCGATATTTTCCAGTGTTGGCGGACCACTACACTGCAAAAAATTATTTTTTTCTTAGTGTTTTCTCTTAAATTGAGATGGAAAGTGAGATATGTAAATGGAACAAGACTACTTACATTTAAAATAATAATAAAAAAGATTGTTTTGTTTTAAGTGCATATTATTTAATGATCTTATTCTAAGAGTGAAAATACTCATCCCATTGGCAAACTATCTCATTCACCTACTTAAATTAAGGGTAAATACATTTAATTTAAGACATTTTTACTTATTTTCAGATCGTTTTTCCAGTGCAGGGGTACCAATACCCCTGTTTGGGAATCACTGGTCTGCAGTGGTTAGTAGTCAAAAAAAAGAAAACAGGATATTTGATTTCCTGCAATCAACAGTTACATTTTTATTACAAAATATCCCAAAACCCTAAAAACAAATACAAGAAATATTAAAAATCACATTTTAGCAGATACAAAAGCCAGATAAGAGTCTTAAACAAATAGGACTTTCCTCAGAGGCAGTTTGATACTAGATTAAAAACAAATTCTTAAAAACCTTATAAAGTTTTGATTCTTACAACTTGAAAAAAGTTTTAAAAAATCTTTTTCATATACATAAAAAGTAATGCTGTCCAGAGAGAAACTTAAAAAACATGTATCCATGAGTTCAAAACATCTGAATACAATAAAGAAACATGAGAATCCAGAGCAGAAATAACCTCAATAAGGATAAAACTGTTCTTCAAATCTTCTAAAGATGTTTTGTCTTTTCTATTCCTTTTTTTTTCAGATTGATCTTCTTTCACACTAATAATAGGATTCTTTCAGCTCCATAACCAGACCTAAAGGAACTGGAAATAGATTTTCTGCTTTTTTTTTTATTAATAAACAGAAATTAAACACGAGTTCTTAACCCTAACTTGCAATGATCAATCTTGGAGTCATTTATTGTACTTTTTTTCTCCACAAAAGAAGCTATAACTTCTACAGCATTCATTCACATTCTTAGCAGAATTATTGATGAATCATGCAAAGAAATTCCATTTAAGCAACATTTAAAAAAACATCCACAATAAGACGTTATTTTCATACAACAAGTGCAAATATGATTTAAAAAATACCCACATCTTCCAAAAAACATGTATTCTACAGTAAAGAACCAAAACATGTGGTGAAGATGAAGAGTCTTCCTCTATGCCGAGGTTTGAAAGTAGAGAAGCTTTCGTAGGAAGTTGAAATTTCCAGGCATCTGCTTGTAAAGGCCTTTTGCAGAGTTTTGGGCAACCTCATTGTTGACCTAAAAAACAAGCCGTAAATAATTGGAGAATATTAAGAAAGGTGTTGATAGAAGCCAACGGTAGAGCTGAGGAACTCACCATCATCAGCATGGTGACCAAGTCATCAGTGGCTGCATTCTCCTCCAGGATGCGATCCAGTGTTTCGATGTACCAAGATCCTGCCTGAGCGTCTCTCCAGGCGACGTAACCTGTCATCGTCAAAAAGCTGCTAAAGCTCCTGTCACACAATGACCATTTAGACCAGCGTATGCCTGACGTACGGAAATCTGGCCAAAACGCTGCTGTATGTTGGATAAGTTATGGGTCAGTTTTTCATTCATTTCAGTTCAGTTTATTTCTATAGCGCCGATTCACAACACATGTCATCTCAAGGCACTTTACAGTTCACCAGATCATAGAGTCAGATTGATTCAAAGTTTTCTATCTAAGGAAAACCAGTTGATTATATTGACTCATTGACTCGAAGGTAATCCCTCACACTAAGCATGCTTGTAGCGACAGTGGAGAGGAAAAACTCCCTTTTAACAGGAAGAAACCTCCAGCAGAACCAGGCTCAGTGTGAACGACCATCTGCCGAGGCCGGGGGTCGGCAACCCGCAGCTCTTTAGCGCCCCCTAGAGCTTTTTTAAAAATTTATGAATTTTTATTTTTTTTTTATATGGTGTGCAGGGGGTCAAACAAAAATTAATTATGTTTTCCAATGCTGTAAACATTTGTATAATTAATAAATTTAAACAACAATTTGCGTCATAGACATAGAGATCAGTGGTCATATCTTCCACCCAGCGCGGCGCGTTGCCAGGCAAAAGAAGCTGCAGGTGTGTCTGGGACCATGGATCCCAAAGAGAAAAAGGGAAGATGAGAAAAGAGGATTTAAAGAATTGACTGAATCATTTGCTTTCGTTATCAATGCGGAAGGATTGCCTGCATTTTTGCTTTGTAATGAGAGGTTGCCAAAAAAGAAAAAGAAAAATTTAGAAAGGCGTTTCCTAGCAGACATGACGCTAAATCTTCTGCGACTGCAAACATTTTTTCTTTATTTCTTTTTTTTTTTTTAGCGGGCGGTAAACGGAAGCTTGGTTAATACCGCAATCAAAGACATGGCTGCCCCCCTCAGGACACTGGTTTGTGACATTTCCACTGCTGTGCGTCCTGCATAAGTTAGGCTGTCGTTGGACATAAGGTCTGGACTCGTTATGAATCCTCTAGGTATACGCCTAATATTGATAAAATACATAGAAAGTTCAGAGTATGCCAGCGTTTAGGAGATTCTGGGACGTCAGGCATAACGTTGCTGAATCGTCAAGGTGTGGCAGGGGCTTAAACAAGACAAAAATCAGGCCGTTATCATGCGACTTTAAACTAAGAATTACCTGGGAAAGTAGAGTAGCACACCAGGATGTCGCTGGGGCTCGGCAGCGTCACTCTGGCGTCTACCTCATCAGTCAAAGAGTCGCTGCTGGACGACGTCGGGATGGCATCCGTCTCATCATCCTCCCCGCCGACGGACAGGGAGGCTTCCTCAGGAGAAATCTCAAATCCTATGTCTTTCTCATCTTTAAGACATGAAAGAAAACTACATTCTGACTTCCGACTTTACATCAAATGAACTCTTGGTTCGTTGTTGACTGCTGTACCTCCTCCACAAGCTTGGATGAAGAACAGTTTGGGTTTCCCTTGCAAAGAAGGGCAGTTCTCGCCTTTGAGGTAGTTTGTGATGTTCTGAACTGTGATGTGCTGTCCGTCTACGCCGTACACGGCGCCAGGGAAACGCTTGTGAGTCACCTGCAGATAAAAAAATCAGAACAGACGTCCTTACCTGTCCGCTGTATTTAGAAACCAGCAGATGGTGAGATAATCCTGCTGATTTCTTAAAGGACTCTGATCAGTCCTCTTAAATATTTTACAAACTGTGGGCAAAAAAGTTTATGATTTATACTTATATTCTTTGAAATTCAAGTGTTTTATCCTTGTTTTTTTGGGGGGTCTCTTGCATTTGGGAATCATCCAAAACATGTTAAAATCTTGGCCTGTGAAGCAGCCTTTACAGTCAGGAGAATACCGGTAAGTATTTGAACACCCTGCTACTTTGCAAGTTCTCCCACTTAGAAATCATGGAGGGGTCTGAAAATGTCATCGTACAGTAGGTGCATGTCCACTGCGAAAGAGATCCAGAAATCACAATGTATGATTTTCTGTTTATTTGTATCATCTGGCTGCAAATACATATTTGAACACCTGAGAAAATCAATGTTAATATTTGGTACAGTAGCCTTTGTTTGCAATTACAGAGGTTCTATCTTTCCTGTAGTTTTTCACCAGGGTTGCACACACTGCAGGAGGGATTTTGGCCCATTCCTCCACACAGATCTCCTCTAGATCAGTCAGTTTTCTGGGCTGCCGCTGAGAAAAAAACAGAGTTTGAGCTCCCTCCATAGCATCTCTATTGGGTTTAGGTCTGGAGACGCCAGAACCTAGATATGCTTCTTCCAGAGCCACTCCTTGGTTATTCTGGCTGTGCGCTTCAGGTCATTGACATGTTGGAAAACCCAGCCTCCACCCATCTTCAACGCTCTAACTGAGGGAAGGAGGTTGTTCCCCAAAATCTGGCGATAAATGGCCCTCACTTTCCTCCTCAGTTAAAAAAAACTAATCATTTAGATTCCAATTTTTGCAGTGTGTTTCTATTAAGATTTGCTTGGAATGGTACTATTTGCAGCCTAATTGGTTTAGGAGGAGACAGAAAACGGGCAGACTGACCTCGGTCCCATGGGAGAGCATGATGACCACACAGCAGTCGTACGAAGAGTGATCCATTCGAGACAACGCTGACAGTTCATGTTTAATTTGCTGAAACGAGGAGGAGAGTTAGCGGCGGCTCCTTCGTGTATCAGAAACAGGAGCAGAAGAACAAACTCACTCTCTGTCTCAGGTTGGTCTTGACTTCCACGGTAAAGTTCATGGATTTGAATCGTCTCTCCAGCTTCTCACAGTCGACGTTCGAGCCTTTGCGATGGCTGAGCCGAGAATCCAGTTCAAACTCCACGTTGTTTATGATGAGGCAGTAACCGCATGGGTTGGAATCCATTTTATAGCACTGATAGATGAGAGAATAGAACAAAATAACAACGTCACTGTAAATGATATGATTTACCCAGAGAACAAGCAGAAGGAGAACATTTGTGATGATGAACTGCTCATTACCTGAAGACTATCCCGACGTGTTCTGCCTTCAGGTCTTGGTTTAAAGTAATCCTTCTCAGGTGCTGCAGTATTAATTATATGGATATATCCATGTGTTAGGTATTGAAATGCAAAAGTATTAAAGCTCAAGAATTTTGGATCAGCTGAAAATGTTCTAAGTCTATGATTTGCTAATTTACAGGTACATAAGCGAAAGTGCAAAATTTATTTACAATAAATGGATGGATTATTAATAGTATTACAGTATCCACTGCTTATCCTCTTTCATTTTTATTCTTTTTAATTACAGTATTTTCCGGACTACAAAGAGCACCTCACCATAAGCCGCCGCCCACTATTATTTATTCTTATTTAACTGGAAATGTACATATATAAGCCGCACCGAGGTATAAAAGCCAATTTATGCTTCTGAACCGTCAAATCCGTCTCTGTGCGTGAAAACGCCCCCCCACACTGAGGTTCTGCAACAGTCAGCGTTCACTTAAAGAAAATCCTGACTACGAGTTGGACGGTTGCAAACCAGCGCAGAGCTAAAGCGGAAGTGCGCAGACAGACAGCAGCTGTGATTGGTCCTTGGTTTGCCTTTCCGGCTGTCTGTGTCGTCGTTCTTCTCGATTCGGGGTGCGCCATTTTTAAAAACCGACGAACAACTACAATGGACAACTACAAGGAAAGGTTAATCGGTCTTTTTTCCGACTTCGACTTCTTGTACTCCATCTGTTTTTGGCTGATGTGTACCAACCTTTCATGGGTTTTATTTATTCAGTTTTTTAAAATCAATGTAGGAGCTATTTCTCCATTTTTAGTTAAATCTTAGAATTTGGATTATTTCATTTGATTTGTTATTTAGAAAATTATTTGTTTAGTTATTCACTTAATTAGTTAATTAATTTTAGCTTGGGATGTGGGTGTTTCAGAGGATAAATAGGGAGGTCTTAGGTAGCTCATTATGCAGGTTGATGGTCATTTGGTCATATGTTTTTTTTTTTTTTTTACCAGTCGCAGTTCTCAGTTTCCAGCCAATCAAACAAAGAACAGGTGCAGGAATCAGAGTGAGAGCAATAGAAGAATCCTGTTTGTCTGAACGGAGAAATAAAACAAGCAAAGAACTAGATTTTGACCGTTTTTTTTATCTTTTTGGACTGCGTAAACCAGAATCCACGGTGCATCAGGTGGCTGTTTGAGTTGAATTCATCTTTTGCTTTGATCACCTTTAAGTCTCAAGTTTTTTTAATTGTGAATTTTAGTTTTGTACAAATAGTCACTACAATAAAGAATCGATACTTGACGTCAAGAATCGATGCGGTAGATCACAAAAATTAGAATCGCGATGCATCGTCATGATGATTATTTTGCACACCCATGGTGTATATAGTATATAGCTATGTACTTTATATTTTATGTTTTATATTGTATATAGGTATAGATTCTGTATACATATCTAGTTTGTCTGCATCTTCAACACCAAATCAAAGTCCTTGTAAGTTCAAACCTACTTTAAACTAAACTTGATTCTGATTACAGGAAAATTTTTTGTTTAATCCTTAAAAAAAAAAAATAAATAAATAGATAAATTTTCAAATGATCCCAAACTTTTTAGCAGTGGTGGATCTTAATGTGTGCGCTTACCTGGACTGGGAGACTTACTGGGAATCTCCACAGGACAGATGGGGACAATATCTATTTTTTTAACCTCAATTGGAGATTCTGTAAAACAAAGGAAGAAGTGAGTAGAGTGTCCCATGATTGAAGGAAGACGTAATGGTGAGAACACTACTGGTTTCATCTCACTGATTGGCAGAGGTTTCACAACAGGGTGGTGAGCTGAAGGTGCTGCAGGCTGAAGGGGAGCTGCTGGAGAACCATTTAGTAAGACCTCCAGCAGATCCTGCTGACCTGATTCACGAAGGCAGTCCAGGAAGAGCGGAAAGGCTCGACTTCCTCTGGTTTCTAAGTCAATCACCAGCTGTCTGGCCTGGTTCTGCTTGCCTCCAGAGCCCTGATTATAAACATAGTTGTCCTGAACACATTAAGTCAATCACAGAAGGACATCTATACAGTTATATCTTACCTTTATCTCATCAATCATCCCCTGGGTGAAAACACCCTTTTGAAAAAGGGCGTCATAAAGGCTGGAAGGATCCAGATCTCGAACTAAGATGATCCTGTTTTGCCGAAGAATCTTTCTGTGTTGTTCTTCCATTCTTCACTCAGCAATCTAATATCCAGGTAGTTAAATAGGATACAGAAAAAAACGTCTCTTATTATGTATTTATCGTTTCAAAGCCAAACTATGAAATTCCTTTCTGTAAAGTGAAACCTGTTACTCTGCAGGTAAGGCGTTTGCTCATATTTTCTGTTTCACCAGCTGCTTCCGTGTTTACATCATCGACGTCTCTGATTGGTCAAAGGAGGAAGAACAACGGTGTGCGTTTCATTTTCGTCACGGCGTGTCCCGTTTTAGTAACCAGCGTGCGGTAACGTAAGGGGACAATGCTTGAAGAGGGTGGGACCTAATAACGGTAGCCGGGCGGTGAAAGGAAACACTCTGAAAACCAAGAGAAAGGAGGGAGATTGGAATGGAAGCGGCTTTCTAGTGAGAGAAAGGACACAAAGTCCTTTATTTTATTTCATTTTTATTTATAAAACTGTTATAATCACAAATATTCAAAACAAACAAACAAAACAAAACAAAACAAAAAAAAAACAATGAAGCGGATCTCTAGTGAGAGAAAGGGAATGAAGTCATTTATTTTTTTATTAGTAAAATTGTTATAATCACAAATATTTCTAAAAAAAAAAAATAATAATAGAATAAAATAAAATAAGCAGATCTGGGTGTGTCCGGAAGGGAGCAAGGAAGCATAACTTATTTTTTTTTCCCATATTTGGACCTCACTTGGAGTTTAATGCAAACGATTTAAAAAAAATTAGATTATCAGTAGTTGTAAGGAAAATAGATGTTTTTAACTAACCAAAACGGGTTTTAGCACACATAATTGATAACCATTATCACCTTACTACTGATGTTAGGACCTTACCTACTGACTGTTAGGGTGTTAGATTTATTAAAAATGAATTTTATATCAAATGGTTCTTGAAAAATATGGTAAACATCATCTGTCTTGTATCCCGTCTATGTTTTATCTGGGGGAACCAACCCTATCAATCAGGTTTGCCACTCACAATATGGCGGACGCGGTGACGCCTGTGTTTTTGTTGGAGTACTCAATTTCCCGTAGCGACCTTCTAGAAATAGCGCCCCCTCGTGGCCTTTCTCTGCTCTGTAGCAGGTTAGCCAGCTCCGGTGCTACGTTAGGATGCTGCGGAACACGCGCCGCACGTTTAGCCCTTTAACAGCGCGCGGTGGGTTCACATTGATGCGAGGAGCTGCAGAGGATCCCAGTGTACCCTGAATATGTGGCGCTGTCACGGCTGACTGCATGGACCCGAGGTGACTGAAGCAAGCTGGGGAAGCTGCAGCCCCTGTGGTAAATAACCCTGAACAGACATAAAGCATTGATGCGTTTCTCTGCAAGGATTTCATTGAGGCTGCAGCCTAAACATATTAGGAGAAGCAGAATAAACACAGTCTGCTGATGCTTTTACTATTCCTGTAAGCCGCTGCACTGCAGGTTATCCTAATGGATCCTGTGATTGTTTATGTTACAGACTGAGCTGTGATGTGAGATACAAATATGGTGACAATGATAATTCTGTGACAAAGCTGACACTCCCATTAGGTTATCCTTTACTGGGAAATATTCACATGAAGGTATCTAACCTTCTTAGAATAGAAAATCCCTTTATTTTCCCAAAATGGGGGAATTCTGGTGTTTAGAGCAGCAAAAAGATTATAGAAAAAAATGGTGACACAAATGTGGACCTAAGAAATGTGTAAACGAATAATATACTATTGAAGAGTTAAAAGATAAACAGTAAAATACTGTTCTGTTAAGAATATATAAAAAACTGTTCACCTGGAGAATAAATAACCAATATACAGCTATGGACATTTTTACAGTAATCGATATTTGAAAATAGCAGCAACATCAGAGATGAAAGTGAAAGCAGCATGTTATTTAAAGTCGTAGGGAAGTCATGTTTAAATGTGAAATCATTCTGGCTTAAACATGTATATAAATGTACTCTTTATCAGAAAATTTCAATAAAAAAAAAATCCTGTCTTAAAATCTGAAATGGGTTGCTGTTTGATTTGATTGTGTGGGAATGTTATCTGGTTTGTGTCTCTGAGAAGGGTTTTTGTGAAGGTGAGATGACGGGGCGGCGATTGGCTTTACAGATTTGGGAAACAATGATTTTAAGCATTTAAAAGATTTATATGTTATGATGGTGAAGATGATCAGCCATCCAGGTCATAGTCATTCTAAGAGAGTTAAAAAACAATCCACTGGACTTTGTTTTCAAGAGTGAAGACGTTTCGCTTCCCATCCAGGAAGCTTTTTCAGTTAGAAATGTCAGAAATAGCGTTGAGTTCAAACCTTTATAGAGTGGAAGAAAGTAAGCCTTGCTTCGGCTTTAGCCGGGCATACACTGCGCGATATATTTAATCGCTGAAGGCAGCTACAGCTCAAACTGTACGACGAGACCACAGGATTTAAAAGTTCACAGCTCGCGATGCATGTTCTCACCCTGCTCTGCCCGACACTCGGATGCGACCTCACGCATTCAAAAGTTTTATTTGCTCCAGACCTTATGATTCCATATGGAGAGGTGGACGTGAGAGGCTGATGGTCCCTCGTTTCCCCCTGTATACTACACCAGTTTTTTCAACCCTGGTCCTTAAGGCACACTGCCCTGCATGTTTTAGATGTTTCCCTGCTTCAACACACCTGATTCAAATAATTGAAGTAAAAAAAAATAAAATAAAATGTTAATTTGCTATTAATTGATATCAGGTGTGTGATAGTCTGGAAACATCCAAGGGTTTAAAAACACTGTACTACACGATGCACGATCAGGCTGAAAGTTGGCTTGATCTAAAAATTCTCGCATGACTGGAAAATCGGCCTGAAAAGGACAAAAAATCGTACAGTGTATGCCAAGCTTTAGAAACATGCAAATTGAACCGGAAGAAAAGGTCCGCTCCTTAGGAATGGGGAGTTGTTTGGGTTGTTAGCCTAACAAAGGACTCCCCATTCCTAAGTGGCGGAAACGTTCTTCCTGTTCTTCCGGTTAAACTAAGCATTAACAAGACTTTACTTCGTTCCACTCTGTAAAGCTTTGAACTCTACACTATTTCTGACATTTTTAACTGAAAAAGCTTCCTGGATGGGAGGTGAAACGTCTTCACACTTGGAAACAAAGTCCAGTGGATTGTTTTATTTTACTTTTGTGGAATGAGTTAATATGTTATTTAGTTTTATTTGTGGTTTTGTTGTCTGATGTGTTTAGGGCGACGGATGTGGGGGTCAAACATGTCTCCATATCTGGCTGTGATGCTTCTGGTGGTCCTCTGTGTCCTACTGCCAGGATTAAGCCACGGAGGCTCTGAAATGGATCCGTACAAAATATTAGGGGTAACCAGGCGGGCAAGCCAGGCAGAGATCAAGAAGGTCTACAAGCGTCTGGCTAAAGAATGGTGATTTTCTTTATCTAATACTTTTTCAATTTCTCTACCTTCCTTTCTGTTCCTAACTAATGGGCTTGTCTTTCTTAAGGCATCCTGACAAAAACAAAGATCCAGGTGCCGAGGACATGTTTATCAAGATCATTAAATCTTATGAGGTTGGTCTATATTCCTTCTTTATTTTCTTTTTCTTCCAATAAGCCCAACGTTCAGTGGTTCTTTAGGCTTTTTGGATCCCCTTCAGCATCATTCATGAACTCCAGCTAATTTTCCTAGCTCAATATCATTCATGCTGTGCAGTGTGTGCATTAAAAAACACCAACAAGCATTAAGAGAGACAAGTGAAGAGCAAAAAGAAACATGTTTTATGTTTTTGCCTTATGGAATTCGCGAAAGGAGAAATCTGGCAGATACCTAAAGAAGGTCTTTGAGGAAGCATTGTTCTACATTTGAGCTTTGAAAGTATGTGAAGTCTCCATCTAGTGGCTGGTTGGGTGGTATATATCTGTCAGCTTAGGTTGTGGTTTGAGCCATGGAGACACCAGAGGAAAACAAGCACGAGGAGCCAGGGAGAGATGAGGAGAGACGAGGAACCAGCACTGAGGAACTGCACAGGGAGAGTATTTAAGGTTGACAGAACAAAGGGAGGACTAACGAGCTGATTGGGAGCAGGTGTGAACTGAGGCTTCGAGAGAAAGAGCTAAGGAAAAGGAAACCAACACAAGAGGGCAGCAGAGGGCAACAAAGAAAAGCATAAGAACTCAAATACATCCAGAAAACACAACAAAATAGGAATTAAACCAATAAAACTTGAAAATAATGGAAAACATGAATCCACATGAAACTTAAAAACTCAAAGAAAACTTAACAGAACCAAGACCGTAACAATATCAGAGATCGCATATATCAGATATCAATATCAGATCACACCTTCAGAGAAGGCCTCACAAAATCAGGAAAAATATAATTTACAATTACTGTAACATATGTATGAATCTATTACACTTTTTATTAGATGTAACAATTCAGTGATACAATTTAAACACTTTTAGCTCATCACCTTTATATTGTTAAGTCAACTTTCAGGATGTTATTGTTAGGATTCTTTTTTATTGACGATGTATGAGTTTGTCAAACCCTATTCATATCTGCCTGTTAGATGTAAAAACTAATGTTTTCCCAAGCAGTTTATCTAATTAGGACAGTTCTCCTGTCAGGATATATAGTCCCTCCCCCACCAAACCTGTAGGGGGAGCTCTACATATAGCCCCTGGAATAGGGATGAAGAAGGATGCTAGCTCCTGTTAGCTTGTTGGCTCACAGCAACAACAGCTTCTACAGAAAGACGTGACGGCTCTGTCACTACCCGGTCTGTGCTGGAAGCATGTCCGTCCTGCGCATGCACCATCAGCTCATTTGCGCATCCAGATATACATCCGGTTCACCCTCGATTTTATTTTGTTAAAAAGACCTAAATGACCTAGCCTGGGTGCCATTCCGAACTGAGGTCGGGAAGTTCGGTCTGGCTCTGCTCCATAGTAGCGCGAGTATTATCGCCCACTGTCAGGCGATCCAATCAAATTGTCAGGGCGGGCTTTATACGATGATGGACAGATGATCAACAGTAACGTAATCAACCATGTGACCAAAGCGCGCTTGGGTGACAACAACAATGGCTGCCGCCGGAGAGTTGAGGTGAGTAGATTCTGCTATTAGGTCTGTTCTAGAAGATATAGACAGCAATTTAATTTTAAAAGAGGAACAGAGAAACGCGATCAAGTCTCATCTTCTTACTCTAGGCGTGCAACTGCACGCTTTGATTTTTGTTGACAACAACTATGCGTTGCTTAACATACGTCACACACTCCGTTGCTCTTATTGGTTGTAGGTCTATCCAATTGAGTGCAGAGGCATTTTTTTTCCTGGTTCGTTCAAAACACGCCCCATAATCACAGCTCTATGGAGCAGTATCAGACTCATATTCTGACTAGAATTGAGTAGGACTACGTCAGGCTATAAATGACCATTTTCCCTCCCCAAAAATGGTAAACGTACTAAAATGTTAAAGGTTAAAAATGTATTTCCTGAAAAAATAAATGCCTTAAAATTCTTTATGTTTTATCAGTCGTCTCTGCCCGATCTGCACCGGAAATGGGATCCTACGCTACTTCCAGAGGCTAACTTTTTCAGATTTGGATTTAAACATAAATCTAGTCCTTTTTGAGTTTTATGGTTTTGTTTTGTTTTAACATTATGGTACATAGTGCGTAATCTAAAGAAAGAAACAACTAAAATGCAGATAAACAGGGTTTAATAAATACTCTGAGAATGTCCGATGATGACGTCAGAGAAGCAGTTTAATGAATAAAATGTAAAAATCATTAAAATTGTCTCACAAAAGGCATAAAACATTTTTTTAAAATGTGTATTAGCATTCTTTAGTTAGTCAAGGATAGAAATAAGTGATTTTACTACCATAATTAAATTCTTTATGGACACTGGGACGTATATCTGTTCACGCATGCACAGGACGGATCGTGCTTCTGGGTAGTGACAGGCTCTTTATTTTAGCTCTGAAGGAGTTGAACCCAGTTTCTTTGTTGGTCCGGCAGCTTTAATGTGGCAAATAAATGTCAAAATGTGTGAATTCTGGACATTTGTTCTCCATCGTGCCTGCAGCTAGCACGTGCTTGTGCTAAATGAAAATTATCCCCTCCTTTGATTTCCAATTCTGACTTCTGTCCTCTGTTGGTTTGGAAAAATCCACAGAAAAGCCACACCTTCTTATAAATCGCATGGTTCAAAGTGTGGGAAAATATTAACGCATTCTAGTCCAGGGGACTTTTTTATACCTGAATGATTCAGTAGATTATAACTATTCGAGGCCTCAAATGATGAATTTTGATCGTTTTTAGGATTGAACAAACAGAACTACGGAAGCGTATTGCATTCACCAAAGGAAAAACAATCTGACAGCTTATCTCATAATTACGAGATTGGTGTTTCGTAATTATAAAATTTTATCTTGTAATTATGATTAAAAGATCTCATAATTACGAGATACTGATCTCAATATTATAATACCCTGTCTCAGAATTATGAGATAAGATCTCATAATTATATATTAATTAGATATGTCATATTTAGGAGATAAGGAAGGACATTCATTGCCGAGCTACGCTACATGAAATGTGAACAATGAGTGGGTTGTCAGATTTAATATGCTTTTATTTTCCTTTTAGGTATGCAACACTGGGAAATACTGAGTTTCCCGGATTTGGATAGAATTAGTTTTAGTTTGTCAGCATTGTACAGTAAGTCCTTAGAATTGCTTAGGCAAAAAAAAAAAACACTCTACTCTGACTTGCTGGAAGTTGCACTGCTCCTGCAGGAGCCATTAAACCAGCACAGGATGCTCTATGGCTATAAATTATTGCATCTGAGATGCATTCCAACTGACTTAGTGGTGTCCCAAAGAACTTTTCCCCTGGTACCTTTTTAAAATCCTAGATTTTCAAGGATTGCAGCTGAGGCTTCAGATTTTTTTTAAATGACCAGGGCATGTCGATTCATATGAAAAACTTAAACCATACGGAATCTGTATTAATGGAGCTGTTGACGGATTTTCGCGTATGGTCATAAGGCTGCATGCAAGTAGTAATCCTAGGGTTATAGCTGCGTACTTTATTGATGAAGTGGAAAACAGGAGCGGGGCTCCAAGGCATATTAGGACAGACCTCAGCACAGAGAGTTGTTCAGTGGAACAGATGCAGATATTTTTAAGAAGTAATCCGGAAAACCAGTTTTCGGAAAGATGCTACATTACTGGCTCAAGTAATCATAACCAAATATATATATCTCGTAATTACGAGATCAGTTGTTGAGTTTTATCAGCAAAGTGGTGCTGCTGGTGATGCGTAAGAAGACAGAGGCCAACGACTTCTCTCATTTTGTAGATTTATTCTACTGAACAATATAACATGGCCGTCTGTCAGTCGGGTTGTGCGTGGACTGATGTGAAATGCACACATGTCAATGTCCATCTACAGGAAGTCCATTAGGTCAGAAAGAACAAATGAACATTCCCATTACTCATCTTGTATAGAACAATTTCTAATAATGTCCTAATAAGATATGGTTTACTCTCACATGATTACTAAGCTAATATTTGCTTGGTCTAGATCCTGTCCAGCGAAGACAAACGTGCCAACTATGACCGTTACGGCCAGACTGACGACACCCAGGCGTACGGCGGCGGCCGATACGGCCCTCCCCAGGACAGCTTTTACCCTGACGAGTCCTTCTTCAACTTCCCATTCAACACCAAGAACCAGAGGGACTTCACAGACAGCAAGTACACGCTGCACTTCAACCAGTACATCGGCGAGGTTGTCCCAGACAGCTACAGGAGGCCGTACCTGATAAAGATCACCTCCGACTGGTGCTTCAGCTGCATCCATATCGAGCCTGTCTGGAAGGAAGTGGTGCAGGAGATGGAGGGTCTAGGTGGGGAAATGTGACTCCCAGATATGTAGAATACCTTTGGGGCGGTTCAGAGATAACAATGTGCTTTTGTGTTTTTGCAGGCGTCGGGATCGGCGTGGTGGATGTTGGCTACGAGAGGCGGTTAGCCAATCACCTCGGTGCTCATCGCACCCCGTCTATTCTGGGTGTTATCAGTGGAAAGGTGACGTTTTTCCATTACGCCGTAGCAAAGGAGCATCTGAGGCAGTTCGTTGAAGACCTATTGCCTCAGAGACTTGTAGAGAGGGTAAATATCAGTGCCTAAAGAGCAGAATTTAACAAAAGGAAATAAAATCACAGTTTGATGTTCTCTTTACTTTTAGATCACTGACAAAAATGAGCAGCAGTTCTTAAACAGCTGGCATGCTCTAAACAAACCACATGTGCTTCTGTTTGACCAGGTTCCGAGTGTCCCTCTGCTATACAAAGTAGGTTCTAATACGTTTTTTAAAGTCGTAGGGAAATCATATTTAAATGTCAAATCATTCTGGCTTTAACATGTATATAAATGTACTCTTTATCAGACGATATTGTCCCAAATGTGAGAAAATTTCAATAAAAAAAAAAAATTCTGTCTTTAAATCTGTGGGTTTTTTTCGTTATCTTATGCAGGCCAGTTAGTTATACGTCAGCCTGTACACCTAAATTCGGTCAATAATCTGTCAATAAAACATTTTTGGTCATAGCATCTTGATTCATATGTCGCAGCTAATATAAGCAAGGGTTGAAATCAGAAATAAGAATAATTTTTTTACCATTGAGGCGTAGAGCTAACAGAACTGGTAGTGTTGCGAGGCAAGGGCTCGAACATGTACGGCTGTAAGGCTTCTACACCAAACCAAGCTTCTGCCGCCCTGGCGCCCTCTTCCACAACATCTTCGTCCCCATTTTCCTCCTCTAAATAAAAAATGTATGACGGAGGAGACTCATCCACGACCTCCGACACTAAACTCTCCTCTTGCATGTTTCCTCTGTCCATAGCGTTCCTTGTCAGTGTCGTTTCTAAATCACCAATTTAGTGCTACTTGGAGATTCCCATTGGGAACTTACTAGCACTAAATCGCTAACTGGTTAGCAAGATGCTTCAGAGAAACCGGCCACAACCAAACTTCCTTACGAACCTTCCACCACAACAATCCCGCCCTCTTGATAAACGACCAATCACATTCACTTTATTAACTTGTGGAAAGTCAGCCACCACTCGGGAGAATTCGGAAATGCAACGGTTGGAACAGCCATTTCCCTACGACTTTAATAATCTGCAATGCACGATGTCCCAAATGCAAAAACGTGCGCCATTAAATTGTGTTTGTATCTTTCACAGCTAGCAGCGTTTGCGTACAAGGACTACCTGCAGTTTGGTTACGTTGACCAGGGCCTGGCAGAGACGTCCGAGCTGCAGAAACGGTTCAACATCAACACTTACGCTCCAACCATGCTGGTCTTTAAGGAGAACACGGACAAGCCTGCCGATATCATACAGGTATTTGAAAAAAAAAAACGTTTACTTCCTGACATGTATGAATGCTATTGTTTTTTTTTTTCCTGCAGGCTAAAGGAATGAAGAAACAAATAATCGACGAGTTCATGTCAAACAACAAGTTCCTCCTCGCACCACGGCTCGTCAATCAGAGGCTCTTTGATGAGCTCTGTCCCGTCAAACAGTTTCACAGACGCAGGAAGTAAGGAAGACAAATGTTTATGTCTTTCTTTTCTCCTTTAAGGTTTGTTCTAAATGCCCTCTGGTTCCTTCAGATACTGTGTGCTGCTGATAACGGCTGATGAAGAGACCAATTCTTTGGGCATCCAGTCTTTCCTCTCATTCGCTTCGACCAACACCAGGGAGGTTGTGAGGTTTGCTTATGTGTACCAGCGGCTGCAGCAACCACTCTGTGACATCCTGATGTACAGCGGCGACAGCTCCCAGCTGACTCCGCAGGTACAGGAGGCCAGGCAGCATGTTAGGAAAGTACTACGACTACTGAGTGGAATGCAAAAAAATAAAATAAATAAAACCTTCATTTGGCAGTTTTAGGGATTCTTCCCTAAATTATTATTTTTTTCAGTCAATGAGCTCTGCTGCTGGATGTTTAGTTTTCTCTTTGGTATGGAGGATGCAGTGTCACGTGACTCTTAGATTTCCTTTATCCAATTTTCTTAATGTTGCCATTTCTTTTTCGTTCTTTCCTTTATTCCTTTGTTTGTACCTTACTTTACTCCTTCATCCCTTCCTTTGTTCCTTTGCTCCTTTGCTCCAGTTGTCCTTCCTTCGCTACTGTTTCCCTTTGTTTCTCCCTTACTTACTTGATTTCTTCCCTTCTGTCTTCTTTCGCTCCTGTTTTCCTTTGTTTCTTCCTTCGTCTCTTCCTTTGCTCCCATCTTCCTTCGTCTCTTCCTTCGCTCCTGTCTTCCTTCGTCTCTTCTTTTGCTCCTGTCTTCCTTCGTCTCTTCCTTCGCTCCTGTCTTCTTTCGTCTCTTCCTTCGCTCCTGTCTTCCTTCGTCTCTCCCTTCGCTCCTGTCTTCTTTCGTCTCTTCCTTCGCTCCTGTCTTCCTTCGTCTCTCCCTTCGCTCCTGTCTTCCTTCGTCTCTCCCTTCGCTCCTGTCTTCCTTCGTCTCTCCCTTCGCTCCTGTCTTCCTTCGTCTCTTCCTTCGTCTCTCCCTTCGCTCCTGTCTTCCTTCGTCTCTTCCTTCGCTCCTGTCTTCTTTCGTCTCTTCCTTCGCTCCTGTCTTCCTTCGTCTCTCCCTTCGCTCCTGTCTTCTTTCGTCTCTTCCTTCGCTCCTGTCTTCCTTCGTCTCTCCCTTCGCTCCTGTCTTCTTTCGTCTCTTCCTTTGCTCCCGTCTTCCTTCGTCTCTCCCTTCGCTCCTGTCTTCCTTCGTCTCTCCTTTCGCTCCTGTCTTCCTTCGTCTCTCCCTTCGCTCCTGTCTTCTTTCGTCTCTTCCTTCGCTCCTGTCTTACTTCGTCTCTCCCTTCGCTCCTGTCTTCTTTCGTCTCTTCCTTTGCTCCCGTCTTCCTTCGTCTCTCCCTTCGCTCCTGTCTTCCTTCGTCTCTCCTTTCGCTCCTGTCTTCCTTCGTCTCTCCCTTCGCTCCTGTCTTCCTTCGTCTCTCCCTTCGCTCCTGTCTTCCTTCGTCTCTCCCTTCGCTCCTGTCTTCCTTCGTCTCTCCCTTCGCTCCTGTCTTCCTTCGTCTCTCCCTTCGCTCCTGTCTTCCTTCGTCTCTTCCTTCGTCTCTCCCTTCGCTCCTGTCTTCCTTCGTCTCTTCCTTCGCTCCTGTCTTCTTTCGTCTCTTCCTTCGCTCCTGTCTTCCTTCGTCTCTCCCTTCGCTCCTGTCTTCTTTCGTCTCTTCCTTCGCTCCTGTCTTCCTTCGTCTCTCCCTTCGCTCCTGTCTTCTTTCGTCTCTTCCTTTGCTCCCGTCTTCCTTCGTCTCTCCCTTCGCTCCTGTCTTCCTTAGTCTCTCCTTTCGCTCCTGTCTTCCTTCGTCTCTCCCTTCGCTCCTGTCTTCCTTCGTCTCTTCCTTCGCTCCTGTCTTCCTTCGTCTCTTCCTTTGCTCCCGTCTTCCTTCGTCTCTTCCTTCGCTCCTGTCTTCCTTCGTCTCTCCCTTCGCTCCTGTCTTCCTTCGTCTCTTCCTTCGCTCCTGTCTTCCTTCGTCTCTTCCTTCGCTCCTGTCTTCCTTCGTCTCTTCCTTCGCTCCTGTCTTCCTTCGTCTCTCCCTTCGCTCCTGTCTTCTTTCGTCTCTTCCTTCGCTCCTGTCTTCCTTCATCTCTCCCTTCGCTCCTGTCTTCCTTCGTCTCTCCCTTCGCTCCTGTCTTCCTTCGTCTCTCCCTTCGCTCCTGTCTTCCTTCGTCTCTCCCTTCGCTCCTGTCTTCCTTCGTCTCTTCCTTCGTCTCTCCCTTCGCTCCTGTCTTCCTTCGTCTCTTCCTTCGCTCCTGTCTTCTTTCGTCTCTTCCTTCGCTCCTGTCTTCCTTCGTCTCTCCCTTCGCTCCTGTCTTCTTTCGTCTCTTCCTTTGCTCCCGTCTTCCTTCGTCTCTCCCTTCGCTCCTGTCTTCCTTCGTCTCTCCTTTCGCTCCTGTCTTCCTTCGTCTCTCCCTTCGCTCCTGTCTTCCTTCGTCTCTTCCTTCGCTCCTGTCTTCCTTCGTCTCTTCCTTTGCTCCCGTCTTCCTTCGTCTCTTCCTTCGCTCCCGTCTTCCTTCGTCTCTCCCTTCGCTCCTGTCTTCCTTCGTCTCTTCCTTCGCTCCTGTCTTCCTTCGTCTCTTCCTTCGCTCCTGTCTTCCTTCGTCTCTTCCTTCGCTCCTGTCTTCCTTCGTCTCTCCCTTCGCTCCTGTCTTCTTTCGTCTCTTCCTTCGCTCCTGTCTTCCTTCGTCTCTCCCTTCGCTCCTGTCTTCCTTCGTCTCTCCCTTCGCTCCTGTCTTCCTTCGTCTCTCCCTTCGCTCCTGTCTTCCTTCGTCTCTCCCTTCGCTCCTGTCTTCCTTCGTCTCTCCCTTCGCTCCTGTCTTCCTTCGTCTCTCCCTTCGCTCCTGTCTTCCTTCGTCTCTTCCTTCGTCTCTCCCTTCGCTCCTGTCTTCCTTCGTCTCTTCCTTCGCTCCTGTCTTCTTTCGTCTCTTCCTTCGCTCCTGTCTTCCTTCGTCTCTCCCTTCGCTCCTGTCTTCTTTCGTCTCTTCCTTTGCTCCCGTCTTCCTTCGTCTCTCCCTTCGCTCCTGTCTTCCTTCGTCTCTCCTTTCGCTCCTGTCTTCCTTCGTCTCTCCCTTCGCTCCTGTCTTCCTTCGTCTTTTCCTTCGCTCCTGTCTTCCTTCGTCTCTTCCTTTGCTCCCGTCTTCCTTCGTCTCTTCCTTCGCTCCTGTCTTCCTTCGTCTCTCCCTTCGCTCCTGTCTTCCTTCGTCTCTTCCTTCGCTCCTGTCTTCCTTCGTCTCTTCCTTTGCTCCCGTCTTCCTTCGTCTCTTCCTTCGCTCCTGTCTTCCTTCGTCTCTTCCTTTGCTCCCGTCTTCCTTTGTCTCTTCCTTTGCTCCCGTCTTCCTTCGTCTCTTCCTTTGCTCCCGTCTTCCTTCGTGTCTTCCTTCGATCCCGTTGTCCTTCGTTTCTTCCTTTGCTCCCGTCATCCTTCGTTTCTTCCTTCGATCCCGTTGTCCTTCGTTTCTTCCTTCGCTCCCGTCATCCTTCGTTTCTTCCTTCGATCCCGTTGTCCTTCGTTTCTTCCTTCGCTTCTGTTTTCTTTCCTTTCTTCCTTACTTAATTTCTTCCTTTCTTTCTTCCTTTGTCTCTTCCTTCGCTCCTGTCTTCTTTCGTCTCTTCCTTCGCTTCCGTCGTCCTTCGTCTCTCCCTTCGCTCCTGTCTTCTTTCGTCTCTTCCTTTGCTCCCGTCTTCCTTCGTCTCTCCCTTCGCTCCTGTCTTCCTTCGTCTCTCCCTTCGCTCCTGTCTTCCTTCGTCTCTCCCTTCGCTCCTGTCTTCCTTCGTCTCTCCCTTCGCTCCTGTCTTCCTTCGTCTCTCCCTTCGCTCCTGTCTTCCTTCGTCTCTCCCTTCGCTCCTGTCTTCCTTCGTCTCTCCCTTCGCTCCTGTCTTCCTTCGTCTCTCCCTTCGCTCCTGTCTTCCTTCGTCTCTCCCTTCGCTCCTGTCTTCCTTCGTCTCTCCCTTCGCTCCTGTCTTCCTTCGTCTCTCCCTTCGCTCCTGTCTTCCTTCGTCTCTTCCTTCGTCTCTCCCTTCGCTCCTGTCTTCCTTCGTCTCTTCCTTCGCTCCTGTCTTCCTTCGTCTCTTCCTTCGCTCCTGTCTTCTTTCGTCTCTTCCTTCGCTCCTGTCTTCCTTCGTCTCTCCCTTCGCTCCTGTCTTCTTTCGTCTCTTCCTTCGCTCCTGTCTTCCTTCGTCTCTCCCTTCGCTCCTGTCTTCTTTCGTCTCTTCCTTTGCTCCCGTCTTCCTTCGTCTCTCCCTTCGCTCCTGTCTTCCTTAGTCTCTCCTTTCGCTCCTGTCTTCCTTCGTCTCTCCCTTCGCTCCTGTCTTCCTTCGTCTCTTCCTTCGCTCCTGTCTTCCTTCGTCTCTTCCTTCGCTCCTGTCTTCCTTCGTCTCTCCCTTCGCTCCTGTCTTCCTTCGTCTCTTCCTTCGCTCCTGTCTTCCTTCGTCTCTTCCTTCGCTCCTGTCTTCCTTCGTCTCTTCCTTCGCTCCTGTCTTCCTTCGTCTCTCCCTTCGCTCCTGTCTTCTTTCGTCTCTTCCTTCGCTCCTGTCTTCCTTCGTCTCTCCCTTCGCTCCTGTCTTCCTTCGTCTCTCCCTTCGCTCCTGTCTTCCTTCGTCTCTCCCTTCGCTCCTGTCTTCCTTCGTCTCTCCCTTCGCTCCTGTCTTCCTTCGTCTCTCCCTTCGCTCCTGTCTTCCTTCGTCTCTTCCTTCGTCTCTCCCTTCCTTCCTGTCTTCCTTCGTCTCTTCCTTCGCTCCTGTCTTCTTTCGTCTCTTCCTTCGCTCCTGTCTTCCTTCGTCTCTCCCTTCGCTCCTGTCTTCTTTCGTCTCTTCCTTTGCTCCCGTCTTCCTTCGTCTCTCCCTTCGCTCCTGTCTTCCTTCGTCTCTCCTTTCGCTCCTGTCTTCCTTCGTCTCTCCCTTCGCTCCTGTCTTCCTTCGTCTCTTCCTTCGCTCCTGTCTTCCTTCGTCTCTTCCTTTGCTCCCGTCTTCCTTCGTCTCTTCCTTCGCTCCCGTCTTCCTTCGTCTCTCCCCTTCGCTCCTGTCTTCCTTCGTCTCTCCCTTCGCTCCTGTCTTCCTTCGTCTCTTCCTTCGCTCCTGTCTTCCTTCGTCTCTTCCTTCGCTCCTGTCTTCCTTCGTCTCTCCCTTCGCTCCTGTCTTCTTTCGTCTCTTCCTTCGCTCCTGTCTTCCTTCGTCTCTCCCTTCGCTCCTGTCTTCCTTCGTCTCTCCCTTCGCTCCTGTCTTCCTTCGTCTCTCCCTTCGCTCCTGTCTTCCTTCGTCTCTCCCTTCGCT